CGGCGGCTGGTTCTGCGCCGGATCCGGGAGAAGGGCGGGCGCCATTGTGCTTCGCTCCGGACGCCTCTGCCTCAGCCCGGGGCCTTGAACGCCCGAGGAGGAAGACGCCAGAGTGCTCGCGGCGAGCGCGACGCGCCCTGTTCGGTGGCTGTCTGCGAGCAGGGGTAAGCGGCGGCGGAGGCCGGGGTGCTGGCTCCCATGGCCGCGGGTGGTGTGCAGGCCGCGGGTGGGGGAGGGGAGGGCCTCGGCCGCCCGCTCGCCGGATGGGGGTCGTGGAGCTTGGGCCCCGGCGCCCGGTCTCCGCTGGTGGAGCGGGTGGCGGGTGGGCAGATGGCGCCCTCGTTTGGGGCGGACGGCGGCGGCGGCGGCGGCCTGGGCGGGGAGGGTCGTGCGGGCCGCGGCGCCGCTGGGACGACCTCCGCGTGGTCCGCAGGGAGAGCCGCGGCCGCCATCCGGGCCTCTCACGGAGACCCCCGGCCGAGGAGAGATCTGTTTTCCGATCGCTCCAGTTCTTGAAGATCGGGATACTTCCAGGAGTTGTTGGGTTTGGGGGTGGGATTTTTTTTTTTTTTTTTTATCTTTATGAATTCAAGCCGGGGGCGGGGGTGGGAAGAATAGGGGCTACCGTAATCGATAAAAGACGACCTGTTGGCGTGAGGAGCCCCGAGTATTGCAGGTGCCGGTGTTGGAATCCTCATTTTGACGAAGCTGCGCAGTGAAGATGAACGTGTACATACAGCTATGAAAAAAAATCTTTCCTTACCTACAAATGTAATGTTGGTGATATGTGGGAGGGGGAATTCTGTCTTGGGTGGGAACTTGCCCAATTGGGTGGGAACTTTGACTTAGTTAAGAGGAAATAATGCCCAAATGAAATCGAGTGTAGTTAGGTTTTCCCAGATTTTGTACGACTTTTTAAAAGGTGCTTTTCTTCGGTATTTTAAATCCTCCCCTTCGATCTGTTATGAAAGCAGACGCAGTGGATCTAAATTTTTTTTGGTGAGATGACAAAAATTTTGTGTCAGAAATGGGTCAGTATTGAAATGTTCAGCTCTACAGCTTTTAAACAGCACTGGTGCAGGGGCAGTAGCACTTAAAGCCAAAATATGGGTTCGAGTCTAGAGTTTGCTGTGGTTATTTAACCTCTACTGATTTCCGACCAGTTAATCTGTGCAGTTGAGTGAGGATTAAATTAAAGGATATAGTATGTGAAGCAGACTACACACTTGAGGACATAGTACATGCAGCGTGAGTTTTTCATTCTTATAAACCGTTGGAGATAGAGCTGAAATCAATTGCGTATTTTCATGTGTTCTGGTGAAAATAACTAAAAATATACCCCAGAGTGGATGACAGCTTCATGCTTTCTCACGCAGTGTTAATACACTTGTTTTACACTTTTTGGACGAGAGCTTTACAACCTCTCTTTGACCCTAAATTATACCACATAGGCTTTTCTCTTGAGTTTTGAGGTGGGTCAGGTGTCTTTTCTGGCATCAGAGTGATTTCTGCCACATTGGAAGAGGGGCTTCCTTCCCAAATAAGCACCAGTTGTCCCCTATATAGATATGCACTTACTCATGTTTAACTCAACATAAAATCTTTGGTCTCATACTTGCAACCAACAATCAGTTCTAAATCCACATCACTTGAACTGCCCACATTTTAATATTATGTATTAGGAAAATGTTAATGTAAAGTCTAGCAAATAAAATGTTAAACAAAAAAAAATTATTGTCTTCAGGGATAGGGCTCACATTACAAGAAAGTTTATGTCTGCCCTCTGCCATATAACTTCGTATAAGCCATTGCTGTGTTCTTGGTTTTAAGTATATACTACTGGAGGAACACAGAGAGGGAAGGGAGAGCTAATGTGCTTCTTAGCCAAGTAAATTATTTGTAGTTCCTTTTTGCTGATACATTCTCTGTTACTATAGAGAAGTATCAATAATAAGAAAGCCAGCCGGATAGGCGTAAGTGAAATGCATAGAGTTTCATCAAACCTCATTTTTAACCAACCAATGGAGCTTAACTAAGAACCTTTTAAATAATTGAATCAATAAATGATCAATTTAAACACAATTTAAAATGAATCAGGTTTTGAGTTCCTAATAAGTTCTACTTGAATCCACTAAAGCAGAATTTGATTACAGCGGAATTACCTTCTCACATATCTTTTTGTTTTACAAAAATTCCATATTTAATACAATTGCTATAACAGAGGGGCTAAAATTATCTTATAATTTGAGAATTGTCTCCAGTTTAATGTTCATTTATCTTAATTTCAAGTTTTTCTTCCTTGACCTAGTCTCGTCATTAAAGCTGGTTTTTCTTGCTCACAAGTTATTTTTTTGTTGGCTCTACCGGTTAGACGAGATGTTGAATACCTGGTTTTAAAGTCATCTACTGTACTACACCCATTTTTGTCAACAGCTCTTAAAAGAAGAAGGCAAGTTTTGGACTTTGAAAGCTGGGTTTTTCTCTTCCCAATATGACCATTTTACTGTAGTATAATGTTTTTCTCATCTTCCAGAAAGAACTTAAGTGGTTTCCACTTACTGAATGAAGATTGAAACTTAACACTTACAGATTAAATTCACTTCAAGAAGAACCAAGTTATCTCTTAAAGTGCTCTAGTATAGGCTTATATAATTACATCTTCTCATGGAAGTGTTCTTTATTTTCCAAGACAGATACATTTTTGTGTCACAGATACTGGTGTCAGCTAACTATCAAGAAATAATTTAAAAATTAGAATCCAAAGTGAGTTTTTTTAAGTGAATTTCAATGTGCTTTTCTCATTTGACCAGCTTCCTTATCTCCATGTCCACTAAAATGAATAGGACATCAAGATCTCCTGTTAATGAGTTTTCCCCACACAAAGTTAAAAAAAAAAAAAAAAGATAGGTGAATAATGGAATATCTTATAGACTGGTTTTCATTAGGTAACCGTGTTTTTATTTCTGTGGAAGTCTATTGAACTACATTGGTATTTTGTGTGATTACATTGGCCTTCATGCCCTCAATTTATCTTACAGTAATGTTGTGCTTTTGTAATTTAGTAATTGCAACCTCCCTTGCATAATATTGAAGACACATTCCAAATTGGAATCAGGTTTTCATATGGAGATGAGCATAATAGAATGGTATGATAATAATTGTGGGTAAGTAAAAGCCAGGATCCAAGAATGGTTCAGTGGTAGAATTGTCATCTTCCATGCACTTTATGCTTAGTCACCACGAATCTCAGTGATGGTTTGTGTGTTCTGATGCTGCTGAGAGAGTCCCTGGGTAGCTACACAAATGGTTAAATGGTCCACTTTGGTCAAAGGGTCAGCAGTTTGAACATATCTAAAGGTACTTTTTAGTATATGTGCTGCCGAAGCGAGCACATCTAAAGGTACTTTGAAGTCAGGCCTGGTCACCTGCTTCTGAAAGGGCACAACTTTGAAAACCTGTGGAGCAGTTCTGTGCATGTGAGGCCACAGCGAGTTGGAATCAGTTGGATGGCAAGTAATAACAGTGATGCTGGAGGGGTTTCAGTGGAGCTTCCAGACGGAGACGGACTAGGACAAAGGGCTGGCGATCTGCTTCTGAAGCAGATTGAAAGAGCCCTGGTGGCACAGTAGTTAAGCATTCAGGTGCTCTAACTGAAAGGTTAGCAATTTGAACCACCAGTGGCTCAGCAGGAAAAGATAGGTATTCTGCTTCCATCAAGATTACAGCCTTGGAAACCATATTGGACTGTGGCACGCACTGTGTCCTACCAAGGTCCTTATGAGTCAGACTGGTAGTGGGTTTAGGTTTTACAGGTTAATAACACTTGAGCGTCTTTCATATGCTTATTTGCCATCTATACATATTTTGATGGTGAGATGTTTGTTGGATCTTTGTTTATGTTTTAATTGGATTGTTTACTTTCTTGAGTAAGTTTTCTGTATATTTTGTATGCAAATTCTTGCTTAGTTATGTTGTACAAGGACTGTTCTTTCAGTCTGTGACTTATTTTTTCATTCTCTTTATAGTGTCTTTCACAGAACAGAGTTTTAACTTTCTTGAAGTCCAACTAACCAGTTTTTTCTTTGATTTGATCGTGTTTTTGGAGATAGCCCAAGTCACCTAGATTTCCTCCCATGTCTCGTAGAGCCTGAGATAAGTAGTGTCTGGGTGTGGGCACACACTGTCAGGAAAGAGTATTTTTTTTTTGTTTTGTTTTGTTCTGAATGGTTTGGTTTTTCTTTTTTTTTCTTTTTTTTTTTTTTTTTAATTTTTTAAACATTTTATTAGGGGCTCATACAACTGTTATCCCAATCCATACACACATCGATTGTGTAAAGCGTATTTGTACATCATTTCTCAAAGGAAAGAGTATTTTGTAAGTGAATTGAATTTGAGCTTTATTCCAGTAGTGGACTACAATGAGTCAGAATTGACTCAGTGGATATTGGCCTTTTTTTTTTAATACTACCTGTGACTGTGATGCCCTCAGTGCTGATGGATTTCTTTCAGTAATCTTGCAGGACTTCCCACTGTGCTTTCACTCTGTCTTGACTCCTGCTCCTCGCTCAACAATATACTGCAGTTGTTTCTTTGAGCAAAGTTTATGATTGGGGGCTGGAAGGTAGGGAGGCTGATTACTAGTTCTGTTGAGCCTACTGCAATATTAGACGGGCTCTGTATGCCTGATCCTGAGAAGTGAGGTTTTTCCCACCATTTTCTCTTCTCTTCCCTACTGTTGGTTCCAGTGTCCAGGTGGATTTCTCTTAGTCATAGGAAGTCTCATAAAGGCCATCCCACATTCACGGTATGGGGAAGTTCTAATTCCACCTCGCCATGGGCACACTAGCAGGCATGTAGTAATGAGTGAGCTTATTGTTATAATTTACACTTCCTTAATGACATAGGGGAGGAGTCTGGTGATGTGGTGGTTAAAAATTGGGCTGCCAACCTTGAGGTTAGTTTGAAACCACTAGTCACTCTGAGGGAAAGATAAGACTTTCTATACCTGGGAAGAGTTGCAGTCTCAGAAACCCACAGGGGCAGTTAGGGAAAGTTGTACCTTCTTCTATAGGGTCTCCATAAGTCAGAATGGCATTGAGTTGGGTTTGTTTATTTAATGACATGTGAAGGAGCCCAGTGGCATAGAAGTTAAGCATTTGGCTGC